CCCCAACCCTAGGCATGGGTAGATAGATGGCTTTTAGAATGTAAAAAGATTAGTTCGTGTAACAGAAAGGTTTTGTTTGTTCCGGCAGAGCTTGTTAGAAAAATAAGTATATTTTTCCAGAAAATGGGTTTCCCTGTACATTGCATAATTTAGAGTATAATTTGTATTGTTCTATTTCTAGAGTTAGTACAACTTTTCCAATATTAACAATGAAGAGATATATTCACGGATTTTGGTGAAACTGTATATAAATCTGTGAAACATGAATTTTATTTGAAAAGAAATTATAAATTAATTGCATTTTATTGAAACCCTTTAAAAAATTTCTACAAAATGCGATTTTCAAGAAGTAATCCTTATCCATCCCTTCCTTTATACAAAGAACATTCAAAATCTACTTTAAATCTCAGAAATTCGAAGCATATATTGATTATCGGCCTTGCCTATATTATTTTAATATCATTGATTGTTATTAATTTTTTTAATTTTTTACCTTTACATAAATCCGAATCTTTGCCTACTACAAAATCTGATTATTCTGATTATATACTTCCTAATCCATCACATTCAAATCTCCGAGATTTAATCATAGTCGCTGGACATGCTATATATTTAGGTAATGGGTTAGAAAAAGTGGAGCAAGATAATAATTGGGTCTTGGAGGATTTCCAAAAAGGTGGAGCTGTGAAAACTTTTTTGAATCATATAAGAAAAGGTGTAGAATTAACTCAACAAAATACAAAGGCATTATTAGTGTTTAGTGGGTATGTTTTATTCTGAAGTTTTTTAAACACCTAACGGGTTATGGTTCATTATACTAACTTTAGACAATTAAAGTGGACAAACTCGACCCGCTGCCGGGCCAAGAAGTGAAGCGCAAAGTTATTATGTATGCTCATTTCAATTATGATTATTTTTTTTTTCCTAATGTTAATTTAATTATTTACGAATTTAAATTATCTTCAGGTTCTTGCTCAAACACTTAATTTATTATCCGCTGAAGAAAATTCTCATTTAATTCTTGATCGTATGACAACTGAAGAATATGCTCGAGATTCTTATGAAAACCTATTATTCTCAATTTGTCGCTTTAAAGAAGTGACTGGGCATTATCCACAAAACGTAATTGTCGTAGGGTTTAAATTTAAACGAGAAAGATTTTTAGATTTACATAGAGCTGCAATTAAATTCCCATTAGACAGGTATTTGTGATTTTATTATATGTTATATATATATATATATTTTTTCTGTTCTAATAAAGAAAAAATTTTAAGATTTACCTATATAGGAATTGACTCAGGGGGCACAATTAAAGTATGTTGAATAGTAAAAATTTTTTGGTTTAATTTATTTAACATATTCTCATATATTATCGACACTACAGAAAGATAGCGCATTAGAACTTTTTAGACATGACATTTATGCTTGCCATGATGGTATACTTCGAAAAAAAAAACTAGCAAGAAATCCGTTTAGGAGGAGGTGTGAATTTTTATTAAAATCACTTGATTGTGTCATTATTATAATTCGTTGTTAATCCTTTTTTTTGGCAGGCATCCTTATCATCTAAGTTGTCCCTCTCTTAGTGACCTAATAGATTATTGCCCTCGTAATCCAATATCAATATTTCCGAATAAATTACCTTGGGAAATATCATAAATCGCTAAATAGATCACCTACCTAGACAATAGACTCCTATATTATATACCTAAAAAATTACACTTAATACTCTCTGGAGTGTTTAGTTCATAATCTCACTGCGAGTTTAAAATACCTCACTGTGAGTTTAACTTAAAATGCTTCACTGCGGGTTTAACTTAATATACCTCACTGCGAGTTTAACTTAATATACCTCACTGTGAGTTTAACTTAATATACCTCACTGTGGGTTTAATTTAATATACCTCATTGTGAGTTTAGCTTAATATCTTTAGATCTTTTATGAGTAAAGAATCTTTAGTAAGTTAATCTTTATCAGTCAAATATTGAACAAAAAAAAGAATAATTGATTTATCTTGATTCAGATACATTTTGAAATTCCTGGATACTACCCTCTTGAAACAAACTATGGACCAAATGTAATTGCTAGATTTGACGAACAATTTATCAATGTAATTTATTCTCAACTTCAATGCTCGATATAGGATATAGCGAAGTCTACATTCTGATCTAACGCCTTCGTTATATGGAAATATTCGGTTATCGGAAGACAAATTTATATGTTTAAATATATTTATAATGCGCTATTTCAAAATATTCGCTATGTAAAAATTCGTTATCTTGAGCCTTGACTGTACTATTATAAATACAGTAATATTGTCTAAACGCAAGCTTGAAGATGTTTTAAGAAATACTTATTTCTTTCCGTATTCAATCCATGAAAGATTGTTTTTGAGAGCAATATGTTAATTCCTTCCTTATGTTTAAGACTGGAATTCGATTAACGAACGGACCGTCACACCTCTCGGATACATTATGAACAAACTCAATACAGTATATGGGATCTT